TTTATTTATGACTAAACATCAACAGGCGTTATTGGCCCCAATGATGCAACCTAAACTAAACATCAATAAGTCAATAGTCATCTCGTAAAAAAGGAACATTGCTAGACAAGCTAAACTGATCTAGAAAAACGAGCTTAACCTCCGGTAAAGCAGGTGGCGAGTCAGGTCAAAGTAAAATAGTGTGGAGACCCTATTGAAGAGTCTCTGTAAACTACTGCGCCGAACATGCTATAACTAGTTCGCTGTATGGGCAGGCGCAGCATTGAATTATTCCGTAGGGCTCTGGGTTGAACATTGATGTCAATTTGCTCAAGGAGAACAGGGCAATCGGTGCGTCCTTGCAAAATATCTGCAATCAGAAATGCCCTTGCTGTATCTCTTCGGACCGACAGGGACTCCAAATGGATCAGTTGCAAACGATTTTCGTAGCTTGGCAATCGGGAGGGATCCATCCACGACAGTTAACGTAGCGCATATCTCAGGAAGCCGTCATAATATCTGCAGCAAGGAACCCGTCATAATGGGGAGCGATATAAACAGAAGCGAAGCAGCAAACCCATCTTTTCCGGGATAAGAAGTGCCGCCTGGAAGAGCTGGAGTGCGAATAAGTGGAGCAGCTGTACCGTTCTCATGAAACACGCAACTTCTACAAGAAACTCAACGCATCCCACCAAGGTTTTGTGCCGCGAGCCGAAATGTGTCGGGATAAGGAAGAGAGTATCTTAACGGACGAACGTGAGGTGATTGAAAGGTGGAAGCAGCACTACGATGAATATCTGAACGGTGCAGAGGCGGAGGACCAAGGTGGCAGGAGGAATGGTTTCGTCGGTACAGCGGATGAGGGGGACATGTCAGCTCCCACGATAGGTGAAGTTAAGGATGCTATCCGACAGCTTAAGAACAACAAAGCAGCTGGGAAAGATGGTATCGGAGCGGAACTTATCAAAATGGGCCCGGATAAGTTGGCCACTTGTTTGCACCGATAGTCAGAATCTGGGATACAGAACAGCTACCGGAGGAGTGGAAAGAGGGAGTGCACAGTGTATAAATAAGGCGACAAACTAGACTATGAGAACTATCGAGCGATCACTATTCTTAACGCGGCTTACAAAGTGCTTTCCCAGATCATCTTTCGCCGTCTATCGGCGCTAGCAAGCAGATTTGTGGGAAGTTATCAAGCCGGTTTTGTGAACCAAATCTTTACGTTGCGGCAGATCCTCCAAAAGTGTCGTGAATATCAAGTCCCTACGCACCACCTATTCATCGATTTCAAGACTGCCTATGATACTATTGACCGTGAAGAGCTATGGACGATTATGGACGAGAACAGCTTTCCCGGGAAGCTGACCAGACTGAGTAGGGCTACAATGGATGGTGTACAGTTCTGCGTTAAGATATAGAGATGGTGGATGAATTTGTGTACCTCGGATCATTGGTGACGTCGGATAACAACTGCAGCAGAGAAATTGGTCGGCGTATTATTGCCGGAAGTCATGCTTACTACGGACTCCACAAGACCCTGAGGTCGGGTTAGCTTCACCTACGTACTAAATGTACCATGTACAAGACGCTGATAAGACCGGCAGCTCTCTATGTATGGAGGCGAGCTGGCGCAACTCTATGGCGAACCCTCTATCCAGAAAATTGCGAAAGCTGGACGGGTAGTATGGGCGGGACACGTTTTAAGAATGCCGGACAACAACCCACAAAACTGGTGTTTGCCTCGAATCCGGCCGGTACAAGACGACGAGGAGCACAGCGAGCAAGGTGGTTAGACCAAGTGGAGCAGGATCTTGGAAGTGTGGGACGGTCAAGAAATTGGAGATAAGCAGCCACGGACCGGGTGAATTGGCCTAACATTGTGATGCAGATGCAATCCTGTGGGATGTCGGACCAGGATAAGTAAGTAAGTAATATCTCAGGAACCGTCGTTGAACATACTCAACTTTCGGCATCGTTTTTGTAGTGAGGAGTCCAGACAACCGAGCAGTATTATAATATGGAGCGAGACAAGGATTAGTACAACGATTTAAGGCAGTAGATATCCGTGAAGTCTTTGGTAATCCTGAAGATAAACCCTAGAATTCTGGAAGCTTTGTCGACGGCATACGAGATGTGCTGCTTGGAAGAGAGTTTTGTATCCAGAATCACACCTAAGTCCTTAATTTGGCTGACGCGCTCAATTTCAGTGCATAACAAAACATTCTTGAACATAATAGTCTCTTTCTAGCGTGAAAAAGAGATAACCGAGCATTTGGACGGGCTAACCTCCATTTGATTCAGAATACACCAATCACCAAAAGCATTGAACTGACGTTGAAGGAAGCAATAGTCTTCAATTGAGTTAATTCGAAGGAAGAGTTTAATGTCATCTGCGTAAGTTAATCGTGGTCCCTCAATAACTACATTCACGTCGTTGAAGTAAATCAGTAAAATCAGTGGTCCCAAGTGACTACCCTTATGAGAGGATTCGTGGAAAAGTGTGTGAGTTTTATTATTAAAAGCATTTTGAAGAATTTTTATTTTATAATTGTTGTACAGTCGAAATTCGCTGGTTGGGCCAACACCTCGGCCCAACTAACGAATTCGATGCGCTAGTTGGGCCAACTGACAGAAGGCTAAAATTTGTTGAGGAGTGTGCGCATCCTTTGTTGAAAAGATTTCACAAAAAGCGGATTGAAGCAAGCTGCTTGAAGCAGAGTGAAAAAAGCAAAGTAGTACACAATTTTTGTTTTTTTTTCTTCTAGAATGAAACTCAAATGTTTTGAGCAAATACCAAACGTTAACATTCATTACATATGATTCGCAGTCCTAACCGCATATGCTTACTCCCTGGAAGAATTTATGATCGATTGTCAAATCCAATTTGACATGAGATTTTGACATCCAGCTGCTTTTTAATTGGGTCATGGTCCAACCAACGGAGGCCCAACTAAAAAGCAGCCCAAGTATTAAAAGCCCAACCAGCGAATTTGGACTGTAGTGTAATAAGAATCTGTTATGCATAAAACCGTAAATAAATTGGATAGTAAATAAAAAAAGATAACATCAAATTAATGTATCCGTTTTGCAAATTCAACAGTTCTTTTTGTGTAAAATTAATAAATAAGCATATCAACTCCCGTAATAATCAGATTAAAACAAATCGAGAAGTAAGGACAATGAAAAAAGCGGGTCAAGTATCCCGTCAGTAGACTTATCAAAAGCGCAAACTATTTCAAACTTTAAAGTCAATCTTTAGGGTTCTAAACTTATTGTTACAACTTAGTTAGCAGTTGATAGGATATGGATTGATCAGAATCTCTTTTGCGGGACGTAGACTGTTACCCGAATGTGTCTTCGGATGTTTTACTGATTTCTTGGGTTAAACATGTGTCTAATAATATATTAGAATTCAAAAGTTGGAGCTTGTAATTGTCCAAGAACGTTTGTTTCAATTAAATATACACACTAAAGTGTATCACAAAACGTAATTGCACGATCGCACCATCGACCGATGCAAACTATTTGCCAGTCTCTACGGAAAATTTTTATGAATCTTGCAGCACCCATAAAAAATGATACACCTAACCTGAGAAATGTCAAGCAAAGATCAATAAGTATATCCATCCTCCCTGGCGAGCACCGATGATCGCTGCATGAAGAAGATACCCACCATGTCAAAGGCCAACAAACCAATCAATGACTAATATGTTGCCGCACTTGACCCGCTTTGCTTACTTAGCATTACATACAGTTCTCTTGTTTCACAAGCCATAACAACCCCTTACCTCCCGTCGCTCCGGCTGGCTCGGTTCATGGATTTTATGACCCATCTTTTCAGTTCCACACTCGGCAACAAACCGATCTAGGTTCGTTCGTTCGTTCGTTACCAGGCTCATAGGCGTGCATTCCTTTATTAGTTCATCTCGTCGTAAAGAGAGGCCCCGCTGCTGATGCTTCTGCTGCTGCCCTATACCATACCGGCAATAAGGCTCTCGCGAGATCCAGGGCGTGTTTGTACAAAATCAGCGCTTTCCCAGGCCGAGCGGTCGCGGTGAGCTTAATTTAATTTGAACCTTTCTTTTATGCTATTTTAGCGCTCACTTTTTTTCATCATTCTTCGGCGGCCTCTGGGCGCTATGACGATGGTCTCTATGCTGTGTGTACACTGACAAACCAGACTTTACTATGTTGTGTTGTAGTTTGTACGGCAGTCAGCAGAGGAAGCAGCACATCATGTGAAGATCTATGAACAAGACCGACTGCCTGACGGCAAATCATGCTCGGCTCGGCAATTAGAAAGAGGTTTGAGAACAATATTTTTCGATATGCTGCGGCTCCCCGATTCCCCTGGTGTCCTCGCCGAGATTGGGCATCAAAAAGCACCCGGTGAAATCGTTCAATGTTTGGTACGCTTTTTAACGCCTCCGATAGAAGATAAAAGCGCTGCCTCTTTATTTATTGGGAGCGGTTTTGTTCTGCTTTTATTTCTGGTAAAGAGATTCCAAAAAGCTAATTAGGACGTGAACGTTGGTCTTTTTCTTTCCTGTGTTCGACAAGGAATTTGCCTAATGGGGATGAGTAATGTGTAAGTCACGAAGGTTAATGCTATTATCAGACGCGGGAAAGCCGAAAGCTAATGATGTTTCTGTTTGAATAAGTTCTCAAAAAGGCTTTCGGAAGATATTGGGGCATTTAGTGATTTGGTGGGAACTGAAAACTTACTGTTACAAACATGGATTGTTTGAAGGATGTTAATTTAAAAGTAATACAATATCGGTAAATGGAGTAGGTACCGGTAGGTCATCAACGAATATTTCACACGTTTCGGATATAAGGGGCTCAGACGGCACCGTTCAATTAGTTTCGGAAGAATAACGAGACTGATTTGGAGAATAGATTTTCGTGTTGAGAGGAAATGATTAAAATATATATTTATATAACAGTTTCATCAAGAGTCAAACTCGTTTATAAATGAGAATTTCCTACATGCAATAGAGCCCTGTGGATAGCGCAGACATGCGTTAGTTGAGTTTGTTCAGGAATTTACCGATCGAATTGATATCCTCGCAGTCTGGAACCATTCTTCCCTTGAACTGGATGCAAGCTTCAGCACACAGATGACCTTCGAAGAACTCACCGAACATCTTCTTGCACTGGGCGCAGTTATTGATGCAGACACCGAGCAGATCATAGCCACCCATGATATCTAGAACCGGGGATTGCAATGGTGATTTGCACTTAATTCCTTAGTGTATTTGTTTTATCTTACCAATCTGTGGATTTGCTTCGATGCTACTGACGAGAACGATGGCCATGAAAGCAGCAATGCAGATAACAAACGGAATCGCTTTCACTGAAGACATTTCGATTGATGAGAATTGATTCGCTCTGAATTGGTAGGTACTATTCGATGATAGGAGATATAGTTGAATGTGATAGAATTGTTCATTTGAAAGGACTTTTATACCACATCTAGCAGGAAGTCTGATAGACAGAAAGATTGCCATTGGAAAAAGTCTCATCGGACGGAAATTGATTTAATTCGGTCTAAGAGAGTAACCGATTCCAATGGCACAAATGGCTTCCATTCATCCATGGAAATCCCTTGGAAAAATTGAATTTAACTCTAGACGCATGCAACTTTCAGCGTTAATGAGAGAACGTAAACAAAACAGTCCTGTAAAAATATGTTAGCTGACGAAAATCAACTTTTGTGGCGTGTGGCGTGTGTAATCTTGGTGCACCGATATTTACTGTGAACAGTAAGGTCAATCAAATTTGGAAAATGTGCCTAAATCTAAGCTCCCTCCAATATCCATCGCCAACATTGTTCTTTTGATTTTAACTGCCAAAAATCAACCAAAATGGATGTAACTGAGGGCTACCACAATGATGATGACGGTTCGAACAGCACAGAAAAGTTCAGGACCTCCCTTAACTCAGCAGTAAAACGCGCAAGACCATGTGGGAGGGGGCTGGGTTCGATTCTCGATCCAGTCTTTAAATTTTTTGGGTCGAAACATTTCTTGACATTTCTTGGCATAGTGTATTCGGGTTTAGAAAGATCTCATTTAACAACTGTGGAATTACTCAAAGAACATATGTTTGGAGCCAGCGTAAAGTCCCGGTGGGAACGTAATAAAGGTAGAGCACAAAAAAATCCGGACAAGGTTTTCGTTGGAGTTTAAAAATGCGTTTTATTTGTCATAGTTCAATGTAAGAGGTATTATGCTTATTGTAAGACCATTGTTGCAGTGTTACTTCTTACCATAGGCCATTGCTCGATCTTTTCTTTGTACACGGTCCATAATCTTTTGAACGAGCCCTGTTCCCACTTGTTTGGCCTGCAAATTCCATTTCCGCCTTAAATCCTGCAGGTCAATTGCATTCCACCCTGTTTCTACAGTATGTGCTTCACAATTGACCAGTGTTCCTAAATTGGCCCTAGTTCCCGAGTATTGACCGGATTCATTTCCGTGGGAACCATTGTGATGCCATTTTCGCTGTACCACTGTTTGGTGGAATTTGAATAGTGGCAGCTTGCAGCTTGCAGAATAGGAAATGGACCTCATGCTGCTCCAAAAAAGACAGTAGCCTTTTCCGTAGGTATTCCTTCTGGTAAATTGTTTGGCTCATGGTCCCAGAAGTAACGGAAGTTTCGCTTTTCAGCCCACAACTACAGATTGCGTGCAAGACATGGAACATTTCGACTACTTTTTGAATTTGACATTCTTCCAGGGCACTCTCACGGACATCCGAGGTATAAAACTCCTGCCCAGGAATTTGATCGAAAACTACCAGGAGCGGATGCACCGGGATTTTCGTTGCAGGTGTGTTGGATAAAATTGCGACTTGCTTGCTCCGGTGAAACCATGATGTAAACAAATGAACTTTTCCTGATAACCAATGGCTACTGTGATTCTTCACACTCTTAGCTTGATTCAGTGAAATTAAAAAAAAATCTTTAAAAAATACCTTAATGGCAGCGTTTTAATGTGTCTGGATTTTTTCGTATTCCACCTTTAAAACCAACAAAGATGATAGAAAAGTAGATGTTAAAAAATCGCTAAAATGCAATGTGACTCACAAGTAAGCTCAACTTTCGCATCTACATTTTTTAGAGCGGCAAGAGTAGTTGTACAAACCGATTTGATGTACTACTAGAAAAAAGCTCGGTAATTATGGTGCAGAAGGTAATTATAAATAAAAGATTTACTATTGGTTTTTTTAACACCCAACGATTGGGGGATTTAAAATAGAAACACAGATAACCACCTCTATTCTCATTTTCAATCAAGACGGATTTCCAATACAAAAATAAAAAATTTGATGGAAATTCCATTTCAATCGAAAAAAAAGAAAAGGTGTGTTTGATGGATGGATGTTTAAAACAAAAAGACCTCTCTAAAATATCTTTGAATAGATCAGTAGTAGAAACGAAGCGAGCCAATTCCAGCATAATGAGCATCTCTTTAACGACTACTATCGAATGGTTCTCGTGCTATAGGAATCGACATTAACAAGAACACGTAGTATATGGGATTAACGCTAATTAGAACCCAACTCTGATGGTATGGCAATTTGAAGAGATAACTTCATGATGTTATTTGAATAATTTTGTTGAACACATAGTTAAACACATTTGGAAACATTAAGCTACCAGTACGTCACAAAGCAAGTCCTTTGGACGGCCCGGAACATCCGTAGATATGTTAAATCGGATCCTACAGCTCTGCGTTTTTTTCGAAAATTCTTAAAAACGTTTTATCGGGATGAGTTTGGAGTTGTGGCCAGAAAATGAACCCTGGGGACCACAGAATGAAACATCGGGGATGGCTGAGTGGTAGTGGTTAACATGCGTGTGGATCTATTTGCTTTTTGTTGAAGGAAGTGTTACTGCTACCTAAAGCTACAAAAAAATTTGAACAGCACTTATCAGTGCTAAATACTGCCTGCAAATGTTCTACCTTCTTTGACTCTTATTGACCTTATTGACCCAACTCAAGGTAGTCCAGCTTGAAAATCAATTCGAAAATGGCATCTTAGACCTTCAAACTAAAACAGTAATCTGCATGTAAGTCGATTTGCAGAAACTTTGCTCTGCCGCCATGGCTCCTAAACGTAAAAGAAAAGGGCAATCTCTTGATCCCCCTTCGGATGAAATTTATTTGAGCAATCAATTTGATGTGCTCGCCGAAGGGGACGACTCTATCTACGATGCAGGAAAGATTGTGGTTTGCTGTGACTAGCTGCGCGTACGCTGAGTAGATAGAAGAGGCTTGATGACGATTCTGAAGCTTTCCTGCAAAAAGATGATGCGCGATGTAAGTAGATGCGAAAACTGAAAGAAGATTTTTCGAAGATTGATTCGCTAGTGTGAGATTTTTCGAACATCTAGAATTAAGATTTAGATGTGTCGCCCCCCTCGGTGCTCACCATGTCTCTAATGTTGACCTATGGGATCTAAGATTAGGCCCATCGCTAAAAATCTGCAATATATCAATTTTATCTAGATGAACGCGTTATTGAGACGTTACTAATGAATATTTTTGGTTGCTATTGAAAATTAAGTCGATTGTTGAATTTATGTATAGGCCCAAATTGGGGACACTTGAGCCGGGGGCCTCCCTTAGCTCAGTCGGTAAAGGCGCAGCTCCAAAGCAAGACTATGCTGGAGGTGGTTGGGTTCGATTCCCGGTCCGGTCTAGAAATTTTTCGGGTTGGAAAATGTCTCGACTTCCCTGGGCATAGAAGTATGATTGGAATTGCCACACAATTATACCAATGCAAAAATGGTACAGGCATCCTATAACTGTGAAAGTGCATCTAGAACACTAAGTTGAGAGCACACAATAAGCTAATATGCGATATGCAATAAGCTCAAAATGCGAAGAAGAAGAAGAAATAGGCCGACATTACCTGCATTTCCCCTCTTTCATGTTTTAAGAACGAAAATTTCCTGGATAAAACACATTCACTGTATTTACTTTTTTTTTTCCGTGTCGTGGACATTTACCACTGCGACCAGTGTTTTGATCTATTGTGGTGTATCCTCTTTTTACTATTTGCCGTGTGTTTTGATGATCAACCACTATGTAGAGTGATCTTCATCATTGATCATCGGCATTATCCCAATATGGAATTGCACTTCGAATGAAGTTTACAACTTTATTGGGTATACTGGTCCAAATTTCTTCAGGTACGGTGAGTCCTTTATCAAGAAATCTGCATCGTTTATTAAATAAAGCAGTGCAATCACACAATAAATGTTCAGAGCTTTCGCTCTCCAAATAACAAAAGCGACATCTATCGTCGCTAAGCTTTCCAATTTTTTTAAAATGATATTTACTAGGACAATGTCCTGTTATTAATCCAGTGTAGGTGCTTAAATCTTTTTTGAAAAGATTGAGTAACCTTTGCGTACTCAAAACGTTGGGCTTAATGAATTGTTTAGATTGCCGGGCTGTTGAGGTATTATTCCAATTGGATTGTACCTTGCTTTTTTCCCAGTTCTTTAATTCCATTTTCAGATTAGAAGGCGATAGACCAATAAATGGTTCGGGACCAATAAATTTCTGGGATGAGCCAAGCTTTGCTAATTGATCAGCTTTTTCATTTCCTTCAATGCCGCAATGACCAGGAACCCAATATAGATTTACCTTGTTACGGCAGGACAATTTCTGAAGTTGATTATAGCATTCCCACACTAACTTTGAAGTGTAGATCATTGATTTAAGGGCATTCAATGCTGCTTGACTGTCCGAAAAAATGCATATGTTTGCATTCCTATAATTTCTTTTTAAACATATTTCTACACATTCTAGAATCGCAAATATTTCTGCTTGGAATACTGTTGGCCATTTACCCATTGCTACAGAACAGTTAATTCCGGGACCTGTTATTCCTGCCCCTACCCTGTTATCCTGTTTTGAGCCATCCGTGTAGAATGTTATAGACCCAGGACGAATCAACGGCCCTGCAGTCTCCCAATCATTGCGTGTTGTATTAAGCACATTAAATAGATGGTTGAATTCATGAGTTTTTGCCATAAAATCTTCATTCTTTAAAATTAGTGGACTTAATTGAATCTCTTTCAAGATGCTCATATGATTTTTAAGATCTCCTTCAAAGAGCTCTTTTGTTCGTCTGAGTCTGAGAGCATTCTTCATTGCATCCAGTTGAATGAATTGATGTAAAGGAAGAAGATTAAGCAAAGCTTCTAAGGCTTTAGATGGAGTACTGCGCATTGCTCCAGTTATGGAGGTAGTGGCCAACCTCTGCAGTTTTTCAAGTCTTTGTTGAGCTGTTTTTTGCACTGTTTTTGGCCACCAAACTAGTGATGCATAAATTATTCTTGGTTTTACTATAGCCGAATAAATCCAATGTAACATTTTAGGTTTGAGTCCCCATTTCTTACCA